CTTTTTTATTTCTGCTATAATAGTCGCTATTAATTCAATTTCAACGAACTACCACCAACGCCAGTCGTTAAAATGAGCGCACTTGTTGAAATAAACATGTAATAAAAAAGTGTGTGGAAGTCAGCAACTTATTTGACACCGCGAAGCTAGATTTTCGCGAAGTGCATATGAACAACACAATTGAGCGATCTAAAAACTACAAAACAGGACAGAAAGGTCCATAAAGTATACTTACGTTTTAATGAAAATTAAAACAATATTTTGTTAATGGAAGAATGCTAGCTAGCTATTAAAATAATTCGTTTTTTATCGAAGGTAAATGTAGCTAGGGCCAGGGCCTAGAGAATCTACCACTTAGATTGCGATAGAACACGCTGCTGCACTGGTCGTTGGTTCATACTAGTCGGCTAGGTTAAGTAGTGGAAACTCACACCTTCTCTACAGTAGTTTAACATTTTTTTTCAACGAATACCACTTGGTACTAGAGGTTCGTAAAATACAGTAGATATTTTATTAAACAAGCCTTTCGACCGTGTGACGTCGACGGCCTGAAACTGGATGGCTGTTTATCTGGCTCTAACTTGGCATCGAACGCAATTAGGGGATTATCGTATCATGTTTCAAGACGGGTATATCTAGATAATGTTCGACGTGAACTAGGCTATAGTAGTGGGAAAGAAAAAAAATAGTCAAGGTCAAACGTCACAGATTTATTACCCATCATACATCTTACCAATTATGATTTAGTGACAGTATGTATGCCGAACACAAGGGTTTTTTCGTTGAAATATAATTTTTATTTTTGAGGTTAACGAGTGACATGGAATGGTGTTTTACTATGAAAGGAATGTGTTGGCGTGGTTATTCCATTCCAAACGTTGTATCAATAGTATTCCATGTGTGTGATTGAAACCCCTCTTAGCTTAAAATATTTTTTTTTAGAGAATTAGAGTCTATTAATGGTTGAAGTTCCACTAAGCCTAAAACATTTTCAGAAAAGTAGATAACGACATTTCTGATAAAATATCTGCAGATTTGTACAGACAGTTGATGTAACCATAAGCAATACTTTAAATGCAACCTGCGCAATCATAGAAATACACCGGTAACGAGTGATAGTTGAATTGAATGTCAGGCTTAAAGTGGCTCAATCAATGCCTGTCGCCCATCATAGGCCTAAGTATCTACTACCTGTAAGCATGCCGTACATTATAAAAGTATCGGGCGTACACGCGTGCAAACTACACGTGCTGTGTGGCAGTCAATTACAACAGACAATAGGAAGATTATTATACAAAATGTAAGCCCCCGAAATACCAACACGAAAGCCGTTCGTGAGAGAACCGCTTTAAGTCGGTACATTTTATGGATGTTTCTAATATTGCACATTGTCATCTTAAACCACTCCAAAAATGATTGGTAGTTTAATTTGAAAGTTAGACGGTTTATGATCAAGCTAATGTCTCAGGTTTTTAAGAAAGCTACTTTGGTGCCAGAGCGACGCATGACAGATTCACTAACTGCAAAATCACTTTCCATTTCCCATTTTTTATTAGTTTAATCGTAAAACACTTAGCACATGTTGTAGGATAAATCGAGCAAATGTTTATTTCCCACCGAATGTGTTATATAAGCCTTTCGTAAGATTGTTTGTCTCTTTTCTTTGTATTTGTCAACGTGTGAATATAGGCCTATCGCTTTCACAAAACAAATCGATAGCTAAATAGGAAAGCGGATTGAAGATGTCTACGTTAATTAACCAGTTAATTATTACAACGAATTAGTTAAAGGATTCAGTTAATAAATGCATGTCATTCGATATTTTCAACCATACATTGCGAGTCTACTGCTTGGGTATAGTTTTCATATATCGATCATCAAGATGTTCCGTTGTGTTTTTGATTATAAATAATGACTGCCTCTAATGCACAAGAGACGAATATATCATTTTAGTAGAAATAGCACATATTGAATTTGTAGTCTTAAGTAGTTACGATATCCAATGTTTATTTTCATTAGCATTAACATTGAACTCTATTCTTTCAAATTGATTATATACTTTATAGTTACTGGTAACATGGTGTTATTAAAATCAATAGCTTGCATTCCTGCGAATCACGAGTTTGGATTATATAGGATATTTAATTTTCTTCAACAAGCTTGCCTGAAGTATTAAGGATTAATATGAAATCGCCACCTGGTGCTTTCCTATTTATAGCAAAAACAATATTTTCAATCAAATCTGAAACCTGCTGTATGTCGTTACACATAATACATGGGCTCTTCTTATACACGACACGTTTGGTTTTTATCACTGTGCACAGAAAGATTTACTGTACGTATATACAATACCATGCGATTCTATGTTAAAATCTAGTTTACTTTGAAAATATATTATTTTCATAGCAGACCATATTTTTTTTAATTGTTATTATTGTGAACAAAACAAACATATATTGTGAGGCAGCTGGTGATTTTCACAAAAGTCCTGGTATATAGTACCGTATATAGTCATTGTTCCAAGTCAAGTCATATTTCATTGTTATGCCTGCCATATTTGAAATTCGCTTACTATTTAAATAAAATTCACTTTACGCTTATCGTTAGTCACGTTGTGAACATGATAGTTAAACTATATATAAACTTGTATAATGTAGAGAGTGTAAATATATTTCAAAAATCAATAACGATCAACTCTTTCTTTTCGATTTTCGGCAGAAACTCGTACTCTAGAAAATTAACAGTACATGTTTACATATCTCAGAATATATCAGTGTCTGTTTTCTTTTTGTGGATTTATTCAACCAGACTTACCGTACTTTTTCATATTATATAAATTTTAAAAGGAAAATGGGAAAAACCCATAAAAAAGCAAACGGCCACATAATGCAAAACTATTTAAAATTATTTAAAATTAGTTCCTTTTTAATTATATATATATATTATTTATTTATTTATTTATATATTTATATATATATATAAATACACATATACATGTGTACATGTACATATAGTAATTATTAATATAGGCCTATAGTGATTAAAAAGTCCAGAAACAACAGGTGGAATGAAAAAAAAAAGGCACAGAAGAAGGTGGATCTCTGGCAATATAATCACGTGCGACATTAGTGCTATATCAAAATTGTGACGTCAGACACGTTATAACTATGAAAGGTACTCCGACGACGTTGGTTGAAGGTCAAATAATTACGTTGGCACAACGTACTTACACAAAGGTTGGCCAGACGACCGTTTTTCCATCGGCCCAACGTAGATTCAGCTTGTTGGAAAGACGTCGGCCCGACTAGTTGGATCTACGTTGGCCCGATAATGTTTGTGCAACGTCGTTCAATCACGTTGGCAAATTCTACCCAGCGCACAACAGTGTCTTCATGGTGAAGTGGTCATGACGTTCGCCATATATGCGAAAGGTCCCGGGTCCCGGTGATGCCTTTTTCTTTCTTTGTAATGTAAATGTAATGCAGTTAGATTTATATAGAGCTTTATACAGTCTGAAAGCTGTCTCTTATACACATCTAGATGTGTATAAGATATATATATATATCAGGTATACGTACAGATATAAATAAATAAGTAAATAAATACGAGTATGAATAAAAAAATATAATGCGGACGTAACACGAGTGACTATTATTATTCGAATAAAGGACATAAATACAGTACGGTACATAGCTCTCCTATAAATATAAATAAAGAAATTGTGTAATAAAATGATTCTATTTTGACCATAGTATCAAATAATTTTGTTAAATATATCTTGAAAAGACATAGCTACGATTTCTCAGACTTAACGCATGCCACATGTTACATCCATCGAAACAGGGAACAGTGTATTAACTGTTCCCTGATCTAAGTAAACACACTGGCTTCCAGAAATCACTACGCGCCTGTAGATTTTGGTGACGTTGATTCGTTGGCCGAATCGGGGAGGGACAACCGCAGCGCAACGTAACGATTGCTATGAAGAGGTGTAGCAACAGATAACTAGCACTTTACTCATGATTGTTTCCCCCGCAACCCAAGAGCACCAATGTGTACAAAAATTCGTGTTTTACTTGCTGCAACAGGATATGATTAATTATTTTTTTATTTATGACTTGCTTTCCGTATAGCTCAGGATATGATTTTGTGCTTGATCCAGTGACCAGGGGTAACAATGTGATGCGCTCAGGGCCTTGCATGCATTATTTATAAGTCTAAAGTTACTATTATTATAGGT